AATATCTATGCACCCAACATAGGAGTACCTCAATACATAAGACAAACATTAATGGACATTAAAGGAGAAATTGACAGTAACACAATAATAGTAGGAGACTTTAACGCCCCACTCACACCAATGGACAGATCATCAAAAAAGAAAATTAATAAGAAAACACAAGTTTTAAATGATACATTAGATGAAATGGATCTTGTTGAAATCTTCAGGACATTCCATCCAAATGCAGAAGAATAAACCTTCTTCTTCTCAAGTGTACACTTCTTCTCATGTACACTTCTTCTTCTCAAGTGTACATGAAACCTTCTCCAGGATAAACCACATCTTGGGTCACAAATCAAACCTCGGTAAATTGAAGAAAATTGAAATCATATCAAACATCTTCCCTGACCACAATGCTATGAGACTAGATATCAATTACAAGGAAAAAATTGTAAGAAACACAAACACATGGAGATTAAACAACATGTTTCTAAATAACCAACGAATTACTGGAGGTATCAAAAGGGAAATCAAAAAAATTTCTAGAAACAAATGACAATGAAAACACAACTCAAAATCTGTGGGATGCAGTCAAAGCAGTTCTAAGAGGGAAATTTATAGCAATACAATCCTACCTTAAGAAACAAGAAAAACATTGAACAGACAACCTAACTTCACACCTGAAACAACTGGAAAAAGAAGATCATAGGGGATTGGAATACAAAAGTAGGAAGTCAAGAGATACCGGGAAAAACAAGCAAGTTTGGCCTTGGAGTACAAAATGAAGCAGGGCAAAGTCTAACAGAGTTTTGTCTCTGTTAGAGACATACCAGTCATAGCAAACACCCTTTTCTAACAACCCAAGAGATAACTCTACACATGATCAACAACAGATGGTCAATACTAAAATCAGATTGATTATGTCCTTGGGAGGTCATATAGAAACTCTGTACAATCAATAAAACAAGACCTGGAGTCAACTGTGGCTCAGATCATGAGTTCCTTATTGCAAAACTCAGGCTTAAATTGAAGAAAGTAGGGAAAACCACTAGGCCATTCAGAGATGACCTAAATCACATCCCTTATGATTCTACAGTGGAGGTGATGAATAGATTCAAGGGATTATATCTTGTAGACAGAGTTCCTAAGAAACTATGGACAGAGGTTAGTAATACTGTACAGGAGGCAATGATCAAAACCACCCCAAAGAAAAAGACATGCAAGAAGGCAAAGTGATTCTCTGAAGAGTCTTTACAAATAGCTGAGAAAATAAGAGAAGCAGAAGGCAAAGAAGAAAGCAAAAGTTATACCCATCTGAATGCACAGTTCCAGAGAATATCAAGGAGGGATAAGAAGGCCTTCTTAAATGAACAATGCAAAGAAATAGAGGAAAAGAAGAGAATGGGAAATATTAGAGGTCTCTCCAAGAAAACTGAACATACCAAGGGAACATTCCATGCAAGAATGGGCATGATAAAGGACAGAAAGAGTAAGGCCCTAATGGGAGCAAAAGAGATTACACAGATTACAAGCAAAAGAAGTGGCAGAATACATGGAAGAACTATACAAAAAAGGTCTTAATGATCCAGATAACCATGATGGTTTAATCCCTCACCTAGAGCCGGACATCCTGCATCCTGGAGTGTGAAGTCAAGTGGGCCTTAGGAAACATTACTTCAAGCAAAGCTAGAGGAGGTGATGAAATTCTAGCTGAACTACTTAAAATCCTAAAAGATGATGCTGTTAAAGTGCTGCATTCAATATGTCAGCAAATTTAGAAAACTCAGCAGTGGCCACAGGACTGGAAAAGGTCAGCTCTAATTCTAGTCCCAAAGAAGGGCAATGTCAAAGAATGTTCAAAGTATAGTACTATTGTGTTCATTTCACATACTAGAAAAATTATACTCAAATCCTTCAAGGTATGTGAACTGAGAATTTCCAGATGCACAAGCTGGGTTTCAAAGAGGCAGAGGAAGCAGAGATCAAATAGCCAACATTCATTGGATCATAGAGAAAGCAAAGGAGTTTCAAAAAAGCATCTACTTCTGCTTCATTGACTACACTAAAACCTTGGACTATCTGGATCTCAACAAACTGTGGAAAATTCTTAAAGAGATGAGAATACCAGACCACCTACTTGTCTCGTGAAAAATCTGTTTGCAAGTCAAGAAGCATTAGTAAGAACTCAACATGGAATGACTGACTAGTTCAAAATTGGGAAAGGAGTATGACAAGGCTGTATATCATCACCCTGCTTATTTAACTTCTGTGCAGAGTCATAATGCAAAATGCTGGGCTGGATGAATCACTGGATGGAATCAAGATTGCCTGGAGAAATATCAACAACCTCAGATATGCAGATTGATACCACTCTAATGGCAGAAAGTGAAAAGGAACTGAAGAGCCTCTTGATGAGAATGAAAGAGGAGAGTGAAAAAAACTGGCTTGAAACTTAACATTAAAAAAACTTATATCATGGCCTCCAGTCCCAAAGGTTCATGGCAAATAGAAGGGGAAAAACTGGAAGCAGTGACAGGTTTTATTTTCTTGGAGTTCAAAATCATTGCAATGGTAACCACAACCATGAAATTAAAAGACTTCTGCTCCTTGGAAGGAAAGCTGTGACAAACCTAGATAGCGTATTAAGAAGCAGAAACATCACTATGGCTACAAAGGTCCATATAGTCAAAGTTATGTTTTTTCCAGTAGTCATGTACAGATGTGAGAGTTGGGCCATAAAGAAGACTGAGAACCAAAGAATTGATGCTTTCTAATTGTGGTACTGGAAAAGACTCTTGAGAGTCCCTTGGACTGTAAGGAGATCAAACCATTAATTCCTAAAGGAAATCTACTCTGAAAATTCTTCAGAAGGACAGATGCTGAAGCTGAAACTCCAATATTTTGATCAACTGTTGGGAAGGGCCAATTCATTGGAAAAGATACTGATGCTGGGAAAGACTGAAGGCAATAGGAGAAGGGGGCAGGAGAGGATGAATTGGTTAGATAGTATCACTAACTCAATGGACATGAATTTGAGCAAACTCTGGAAAATGGTGGAGGACCAAAGAGCCTGGTGTGCTACAGCCCATAGGATTGGAAAGAGTCGGACACGACTTAGTGACTGAACAACATCAAACCTTAACCTAGCTACTCTTCTCCCTTCTTCACTGACAAAGCCCTTCATGACAGTTTTAAGCTGAGGTATCATCTCCTAATTCCTCGTGTTGATCTGCAGGAAATTCCTCTGTGTAATGCTGACTTCTCATGGATCACTGATGGTTCTTGTTTAAAAGGTGACATGGCAAATATTGTGTTCAGTATGCTTACTATTCCTTTTGATACTGTTAATGCAACATCTTTACCTATGTCTACTTTGGCTCAACAGGCTGAATTAAGCACTCTTACATGGGTTTCACATTAGCCAAGAGCAAAGCTGCCAATATTTATACTGATATTGGATGTGCTTTCAATGTAGCTCATGATTTTGGAATGTTGTGGAAACAGCATGGCTTCCTCACTTGAAACAGATATAAAATTTTAAATGTCCTTAATGTATATGAATTATTGGACCCAGTACTTTTACCTGCTGCTTCAGCTATTATTAAGATTCTAGGGCATTCTAAACATGACCATCTGGGAACAGGGGAGATTACCTTGCTGGTATTTCCACAAGGAATTCTGCCCTTAAAGGAACAAGTGGCAGCCAAATCTCTGTCATGGCCCAAGGGAATAGTTCCCTCAATGATAATTTTTAAAAATTGTCTAGAGAAGCCCAGAAATTGACCTCAAAATATGGAAAACAAAGCCTGAAATTCAACAAATATTAGTTTGATTTAAAAAAAGAAAGCTTTGGTTATGACCAAATAACAACCCAGTCCTTCTGGAGACTAAAATCCCCTCTCCTTGCCAGTGTACATGCATTAAACCATTTGTCTACTGACAAAATGATATCCTTCATGAATCAATACTGGTGGGGTAACATTAACAAGGCCATGAAAAGTGCCTACTTCATTTATTCCACTTGCTCAAAGTACAATCAAAGGATGCCTATTTGTACAGCCCCCAGGCATTTTTAACTGCCTAATGGACCAGTCAAGGTATGGCAAATGCATTTTATACAACTTCTTCCTTCAGATGGATATAGATGTTTTAGTCATGGTCTACATGGTTTTACCCTTGCACATAGGCTCCTGCCTCTTGGTTGACTAAAGTCCATTTGGAAAAGATTATCCTTACATATAGAACTCCTCTCAAACTTCATAGTGATCAAGGAACCCATTCTACTGATAAGGTACTTTGACAAGTCTGCAGAGTTTGGACAGTTCTACTCTTTTCCTGTTTACCACCCTCAATCCTCTGATTTAGTTGAATTCATCAACACCATTATTAAGACTCATTTGGCAAAATGTGTATAGGCCCTTCAAATACCTTAGTCAAAAGCATTGTCATTGGTCCTTCTAAATCTCAAATCCACCCCCTATTTATAGAAAGATAGTTTATATAACTTTCTACATAACAAAGAAAGATGTAAGTTTCATACTTCATGCAAGTTGTAAATGGTGGCATTTGGTCCTAAACCCAGGTCAAAATCTGAAGTTCTTTTTATCCAGTAGCCCCTCTACCATGGCTTCCCAGGTGATGCAGTAGCAAAGAATCCTCCTGCAATGCAGGAGATGCAAATTCGATCCCTGGGTAGGAAAGATCTCTGGAGTAGGAAATGACAACCTGCTCCAGTATTCTTGCCTGGAAAACTCCATGGACAGAGGAGCCTGGTGGGCTACAGTCCATGGGGTCACAAAGAGTTGGACGTGTCTAAGCAACTGAGCACATGTACAGAGATAAAGATAACCATGACAACTTAATAGTTTTACTGAATACGAAGCTTGACTGAGTTGGTAGCTTTCACCAGACTACCTTCCAATGGCTCACAAACATTTATAATATCTTATGAAATGTTAGTGCATTTAGTGTCTATATTTTAATCAGCCTCCTCTTGTTCATTCTCTCACATGCTGTAGGCATAATAATCTCCTTCAAGTTTGGAGGAATCTTGACTGAGGAAAGAAGTGTACAGCACAGCTGCTACTGCAGCCTCCAGTGGGTCTTGGAATAGTCAAGCTCATCCTCGGGATATAAGGGCCTGTCATGGCTACTGTGTTCCTTCGTTCTCCCCCGCTCCTCTCCATCAGGCTTCTCCAGAGTTAATTAAAGCCTGATCAGCTGTGCCAGGGCAAGCCCCACGTGCACACTTGGCTTCTGGTTTCCAGTGTACTCTGTCTGATGCCCTCGTCTTGATTTCCAGGCCTTGAGTTTCCTGGTGTAATACTCTGTCGTAGCATAAACAACAATTTCCTTGAACGACTATCCTTGCTCTTTTTTGCCCTGCCCTCTTTCCAAAGGGCTGGATCTGCCCAGTTACTGCTAATCCTGACAGGTCTTCTGGAAAGATGCCTTCTTGAACCCTGACCCAGTGTAAGACTTCCTGAAATAGATGTTCTTCAGGACATACTGTACCTCCTGTTACTAAAGACTGAATCACACCCAAGTTTGAAATATCTTTCGAATTTGTGGTCTCTAAAAAAAGGATACACATGTCCCAGGGAACATGTAAAATCAAGTATTGAGGATATGGAAACAAAAATTAGGTTGTCCATATTTATAACTTTTTATGATAAAAGAAAGAGAAAAATAATGGATACATTCCTATTGCTAATACTTAGAGAGAGACTGGGATACATGTCATGAAGAGACTGTCAGGTATCCTGAGAGAAGAGAATGAAAAATTATATGACACGTAGGATCTCATAGTGGCCTTCTAAGTTATTGATTCAGTTTCAAATCATTCATTCATTCACAGTGTACTGTGAAGTAACTGATTGATCAAAGAGAGTCACCCTTGGTATACACAGGGAGTTGGTTTCAAGACCCTCACTGAAAACAAATTCTGCAGATGTGTAAGTCCCTTATTTAAAATGGCATAGTATCGTAGATGACTCTATCCACAAGGATGTGGAAGCCACAGAACAGAGGGCCAACTGTACATGATTTTAAATAGAATCTTTAAAAAAAAAAAAAGAATCTTTAGAACACCTTGTAAAGAAATCAGGAGGGATCATGAAAACCTTTTGTACCGTACAGGAGTTTGAGGTTTATCCAATAGTGAGATACTTAAAACAGTCATTGAGCTTAAAGAGTTATGTATTTCTTTTGTTTAACAAAAATACATTTGTTCCAATTTTTCATATTTTTATATAATATACATGGCTGTCAACTGTTATAACTGTATATATAGTTACAGTTATTGCTTTAAGGGAGAAATGATATTTAGCAATACTTGAAAAAATAGCTGCTTTTCCAAAAGAATCTTAAGAATAAAAGAGAATGCTGAAAATAGATGTTTGAAAATGTTACTGTCATTATGTGAATTTTGTGGTTGATGTGATATTAAGTATTTCAACTCTGAATAAAAGATTTTCATGTTTGGTCATGTTAATAAAAACACTTGGAAATAGACTTTTCTAACCTGCTAATCTTACAAATGAAGAATTTCAGTAATTTATTTTTAACCAGTTTGGTAAAGTGATCAATCAAAATCCAACATCTTCCAATTAGTTTGCTAAAGCAAATCATTGGCATTGTATGGAAATACATTAACTGAACTAATACATTTTTGCATTCATTATTGGTGAATGTGGTTGAAAATGTACATTATCTTGCAATTGACATGTACACATTGCTATATTTAAAACAGATAATCAACAAGGACCTGCTGTATAGCACAGGGAACTCTGCTCAATATTCTGTAATAACCTAATGGAAAAAGAATTTGAAAAAAAAATAGATACAGGTATATATGTAACTGAGTCACTTTGCTCTACACCTGAAACTAACACATTGTTAATCAACTATACTCAAATATAAAATAAAAATTTAAACAAGAATAAATTAAAAAGAAAATGTGCTTTATCTTTTAATAAGTACAGTAATTAAAACTTTTCTTCCTTTAGTTTTATGTATATTTGCAAGTTCAATAGCCGCTAGAAACAGGACTTGAAATAAAGCTAATTTAGAACTTAACTATCTTTGTTTCTAATTTAGTTAATTAATAAGTTTAATTCAAATTTAAACTACATTTTTAAAAATAAAATATTTTATTACATGCTGTCACTAAAAACCAATACTGATTATTTGACATTTCAATGAGAACAAAAATGTAGTATCCTTAATGAATTAACAAAATGAAAAATGACAAGTATCTTATTTAATCTTTAGAACCTTCTTCATATTTCGTGATTTGTGTATGTTTGATAAGATATAAATTGCTGCTATTCTAGAGAGTAAGTATAGCAGTGCATGTAGTTTTAAGATTTTTTAAAATTCTTTAGGATGTGCCCTTAGGAAACTATATTGTAAAACCACTCCATTTGACCTTGTAGGTATCTTCTGGGTGTTTCCTGAGGTTAATTGTACCCTAGGACTCTATACCAATGTGAACAGAAGACCAAAAAAAAAGTTCAATTCCTCATCACAGACTCACAAATTTATGGCTAAAATTATTTATACATAAAGACATAAGCACATAGACACAGAAAATTCAAAAGTGACAATACAGTAACAACAATTACTGAATATAAGTGAACCATATATGTGTTCATTCTTTCCAGTTTTAGCTTTATGGTAACATTTTAAGGTAAAAGGTTTGAAGACTAAAGCTCTCTATGTATACTTCATGAAAAATTAATTTCCACTTTTAATTATCTCCTAAATATCACTTCTAGTGAGCAAATAATTATTTGACTCCTGTGATATGAAGACACATATTTGAAAGGAAATTTTTCTATTTGCCTTAATTTTTCACTTTAATCTGCATACATATTTATGTGTGTATTTATATATACAGTTCTAAGTTTCAACTACAGCTGGAGAGGAATCTTTACTGAATAGGAAATATCATAAAAAGCATTTTTTTCTCTGTAAAACAGTTCTAATACATTAGCAATTCTAAGACAGGATTTATTCTTGGCAAAATACATTCTACAGCTGCTATTTATATTCATTCCATTTTAATATTTTCTTTATCAATTTGTAAACAAGAGGCCAGATAAAAAAGATGAAAAATTCAAGAGGGTTGATGTTGCCTGAAAAAAAAAGGTGCTGAATACCCTTCACCATGGGAACCATCCAGAAGACAAAAATGTACACAGATTTCTAAAACGGCCTTCCAAACCTTCAATGGCATTGAAGTTGAATTTTGTAGCTTTTCTTCCTTCTGCATATGTATAAACTGAGAATAGAAACCATCCCCTGTAAGGAGGTTTCTATACATATATCAAAGGATTTTGATGACATTATAATAACCAATAGAGTGAAGCTGGGGCAGTTTGTGATGATTTTGGATTCTCAAGACATTTACCTTCTGTTATAAAATATTAATGAAACAGCTGACAAGCCAACAAAATTCTAAAGGAGCTCATCTCACAGGAGAGAAATTTGTTGACATTGATTTGGACTGCAAAGTGGGCTTTATGAACTCCCAGATATGTACGTGCCTACTGTTACCTTTGTGTTAATTGTGTATTCAAGGGAGAGATGCAGAGCTTTCAGAGGTGGACATCATCATAACCTCTTTCATTATTCAATGCATTTCAAAGCTATGGGGCAAGACAGTGCTTGGGCTGTTGCTATTTTTATTTGCTTTTAAATAGAAGTGACTTATCTTGCAAAATGAAAGTGAATAGGTTATTGTTGTTTTAGTATTAAACATTTGTGGTTTAATTTTTTTATTGCTGCAAGAATTTCAGGGCATGGTGATTTTTATTAGGTAGAAAAATCTAGGCAATGATGATCAGAAACACTTTCCTCTAATAGTAGTAAAAGTTGCTATAACTGCAAAATTTAGGGCAGTTGAAAAGTGCTGGGAAAGAAAAGCAGCAGTGCATACATACAGAGAGATAGATAATAGTAGGGCTTTTGGTTCAAGATGGCAAAGTAGAAGGACATGCACTCATCTCCTCCTGAAAGAGCACCAAAATCACAACTAGCTGTTGAACAACCATCGACAGGAGAATGCTTGAACCTACCAAAAAAGATTCCCCATGTCCAAAGACAAAGAAGAACCTGCAGGGAGATGGTAGGAGGGGCGCAATCACAATAAAATCAAATCCCATACCTGCTGGGTTGGTGACCCATAAACTTGTTGTTGTGCAGTTGTTCAGTCGTGTCCGACTCTTTGTGACCCCATGGACTGCAGCACGCTAGGCCTCCCTGTCCCTCACCATCTCCTGGAGTTAGCTCAAACTCATGTCCACTGAGTCAGTGATGCCATCCAACCATCTCATCGTCTGTCATCCCCTTCTCCTCCTGCCTTCAATCTTGCTGAGCATCAGAGTCTTTTCCAATGAGTCGGCCCATAACCAAAATATTGGAGCTTGAGCTTGAGCTTCAGCATTGGTCCTTCCAATGAATATTCAGGGTTGATTTCCTTTCGGATTTACTGGTTTGAACTCCTTGCTATCCAAGGGACTTTTAAGAGTCTTCTTTAACATCAGAGTTCGAAAGCATGAGTTCTTCAGCACTCAGTCTTTTTTACTATCCAGCTCTCACATTTGTACTTGACTACTGGAAAAATGATAGCTTTGACTATACTGACCTTTGTTGGCAAAGTAATGTCTCTGCTTTTTGACATGCTGTCTGAGTTTGTCATTGCATTTCTCCAAGGGGCAAGGTCTTTTGATTTTAAGGCTGCAGTCACCATCCACAGTGATTTTGGAGTACAAGAAATGTCACTGTCAAGTCTGTCATTGTTTCCATTGTTTCCCTATCTATTTGCCATCAAGGGATGGGACCAGAGAAGACTCTTGAGAGTCCCTTGGACTGCAAGGAGATCAAACCAGTCAATCCTAAAGGAAATCAGTCCTGAATATTCATTGGAAGGACTGATGCTGAAGCTGAAACTCCAATACTTTGGCCACCTGATACGAAGAACTGACTCATTGGAAAAGACCCTGATACTGGGAAAGATTAAAGGCAGGAGAAGAAGAGGACAACAGAGGATGAGATGGTAGGATGGCATCGCTGACTCAATGGACAGGAGTTTGAGCAAGCTCTGAGATTTGGTGATAGACAGGGAAGCCTGGCGTGCTGCAATCCATGGAGTCACAAAGAGTCGGACAAGACTGAGTGAATGAACTGAACTGAACTGATGGGACCGGATGCCATGCTCTTTGTTTTTTGAATGTTGAGTTTTAAGCCAGCTTTTTCACTCTTCTCTTTCATCTTCATCAAGAGGCTCTTTA